TGTCGTTGCTCATCTCCCCAGACCTGTCTTCCATGACTCCGAATCGTGTCAAAGAATGGCTTGCAGCGGTCTGACAATTTTGAAATGAATCGGCTTAATGCAGCTATTCGTCCTGTGAGGGCTTGCACCTCTCTGATCGTCTTTGGCTCGGCATTCTTAATCAAAACCTCTGCTTGAGCGGGGCTAACTTCGATGCCTCTGCGGTTGACCACGTGTCCCAAAAACTAACCGGAACTCACACCGAACGAGCACTTGGTTGGATTGAGCCTCATCCCATATCGCCTTAATACATCAAATATATCTTGCAGATGTTTCAGATGATCATTCTTCTTCCTACTCTTTACCACCATATCATCAATATAGGCTTCCACAATCTTTCCTATTTGATCCTTGAAAATTTTGCTAACAAGTCTTTGATAAGTTGCTCCCGCGTTCTTTAGTCCGAAAGGCATAACTTTGTAGCAGTATGTCCCTCGCTCAGTTACAAAATAAGTTTCTTCTTCATCTGCCGGGTCCATAGGGATCTGATTATAACCTGAATAAGCGTCCAGAAAGGTTAAGCGTTCATACCCGGTGGTAGCATCCACCATTTGATCAATCTTTGGCAGCAGGAAGCTATCCTTCGGACAGGCTTTGTTCAAATTGGTAAAATCAATGCATACTCGCCATTTCCCATTCTTCTTCTGCACGATAACAACGTTGGACAACCAATCCGGGTAGTGTACTACTCTGATAAATCCCGCATCAAGCAGCCTATCAACTTCCTCGGCTATGATTTGGTTGCGTTCTAGAGCAAATCTTCGTTGCTTCTGTTTTACTGGTTTGAAATTGGGATTGACATTCAAAGAATGACAGGATACGGAGGGATTAATTCCAGGCATATCTAGGTGACTCTAAGCAAATACATCGGCATTGTGAGACAAGAAGTCAGCTAGCTCTTGCCGCTCTTCCCTGGTCAGTCTTATTCCTACTCTGGTAGTTCGTTCTGGCCTGGACTGATCGATCTGCACATCCAGAAGGGGCTCTTCGGTCAAGTCAACTGACTCCTCCACCCTGTTCTGCTTGGGCGGAGGTTCCTATAATTGCTATCTGGGGCTTGCCAGTCGGACGGGCGCCTTCCCTTTCCCAGCATACTTTAGTGTGACGGAATAGCACTCTTTGGCTGCAACCTGATCCCCACGAATGTCTATTACCTTATTTCCATCGGGTCCGAGGCACCTCATGACCTGATGCAAAGTTGAGGGTACTCCTTGGACTTTGTGAATCCATCCTCTTCCCATCAGGAGATTGTACGAGGGGTGAATCTCTACAACCACAAAAGTTTCCATAAGAGCTCGTTCTGCTGCTTGAACTTCTACTTCCACCATTCCGACGGGCTCCACCCTCTTACCATCGAATCCTAACAAGGGATTTCCAGTGGGCTTGAGCCTCTCTGGTTTAATCTCGAGCCGATCAAATGTGTCCCTCGGCATGACATTCGCACTGCTCCCGGGATCGATCAGAACTCTGCGCACCAGGCAGTCCGCCACTGTCAAACTGGCTACCAACGGGTCTTCATAGGGGATTTGAACACGCTGCAGGTCTGTCCTGTCGAACTTTATCTGTATCGATGTGATCTGCTGGTGTAGAGTATTCACACTGCTGACCCTTTTCTTCATCTGCACCTGCCGTAGGCGCGCTCGGAGCAGCTCATCTGAATCTTCGCTGGGCTCGGGTCGACCGTGGATAGCATTAATTATACGAACTGGTTGTGAATTGTGGGAGCTTTGTTTATGGCTCCTTTTTACTTGTTCCATCGATCGATTCTGCTCTGTCGCCGAGCCTTAAACATAACTCGCGAACTCCCCTCTAGCTATCAACATCTCCACTTGCCTTCTCAAATTCCTGCATTCATTAGTCTAATGACCGAAATCGGAATGGAAAGCACAATGTTTAGTCTGATCCCTCTGTTCGAGGGGTTGCTTAATTGGCAGTGCTGGATGAAACTTATCTTTGTTCTCCTGATATAGCCTCGCCAGAGTGACCTTCAGCGGAGTGATCAGCTCTTCCTCCCTGGACCTTTTTTCTGCCTTCCAGGAGGTCTGACGCTGCTGCTGAGCCTGCTTCTGCCTGATCTTTGCCTTGGAATTTTTCTCGGTCGACACGAGCGACGCTGTCCGAGCATTGGCTGCCTCCTCTTCTTCTAGGCGCACAAAGCCGTCGGCTCTTTCATTGAGTTCATCCATAGTCGTCGGCGTGTTCACTACCAGACTGGTATGGAACGGAGTGCCACGTGTCATGGCTAACTTGAAGGCTTGAACCGCTGTAGAAGGGTGGCATTCGATCACCATACTCTTAGTGAGATTAAACCTGGTGAGAAAAGCCTGGAGACGTTCATCTTTGTGCTGTCTCATTGTGAATAGGCTTGAGATGTCCTTTGGCGGACGCTTGTTCCCATAGTACTGACTTATGAACCGATCGCACAAATCTCGGAAGCTACTAATGGAGCTCTTAGGCAAGTTCTTGAACCAGCTGAGCGTCGGTCCAGCTAGGCTTGTAGGGAAACATTTGCACATTAAAGCGTCATTTTCCGTATTCAGGGCCATCTTCAACTGGATATGGTACACATGATCGATCGGATCGGTTGTTCTATCAAACAGAATAAATACTGGCATAGCAAACTTCCTTGGATGCGGGACATTCAGGATCTCGTCAGTGAATGGTGAATCAACCGTTCGAGCTACGGATCGGAGCGCTTCATTCTCTCTTTGGCGCCCAGCGGTAGCTCTGTGGGCTACGGTTCTGCTCTTCGAACCGCGATGAGTGATTGTAGCCATGGAGGGCCGGTAGGACGGATCGAACGACCGTTCCTCTACGAGCTATCTTTGCCAAGGCGACGCAACTTGGCGGCGATCAACCTCTGTCACCTCCTCTCGGTTAAACCTTTCCCGATGCGGATCTAAGGTCATGGCTTCGTTCTGTCTGATCTGCTCATGTCGCGGATCAACGTGAGTCGATCCTTCGTGATCCTCAACTCGACGAGCATTTGGCGGCAAATCATCCATCCTTCTTTCATCACGGTGAAGAGCTGACTGACTGTTCTCGTCCTGCTCGCCTTGATGCGCGATATTAGATTGAACACCTCCTTCTCCGGCCGGAGGTGGACGCGAAACCGCGGGCATTTGCTGATGTTGCATTCCAGCTTTCAATTCTGTATTCTCTTTTTTGAGAGCCTCGATCAAGTTCATCAACTCCTCAAGCTTTGTTTGCTGGACAGCCTCCATCGGATTGGAGCTTTCACCTATCATTATTCCTGAACGGAGTAAAGGCATTAATCTCAAGTTCGCGAGTAGATCCGAGCTTCATGAGTGGGAATTTTTCAGATCTGGTTTCGAATTCTCCGAATTATGCTCACGGTTGACGAGATCTGAATTGTCCGAATTCTAAATCTGTCAGATCCTACCACAATCGAACAACTCGTTGTTGCGTAGATCTGAAGCCACTTCTGCCAAAGCTACAGGAACTAAAATTCCTCCAGAGTAGGTCACAATCGCTCAGATCTGGATTCAACTCCCAAAGATCGAGTCTCGATCCCCCGAATTGGTCTGAATCCACGTGATATTAATCATTGATCAACCAATCTTCCATGGTTCCCACAGACGGCGCCAATTGAAGATACAAGAAATTCCATCCCCCTTTCTCTCTCTAGAATTCTTGTATTTCAACCCAAAAAAATATCCCCTATTCTTTCCATTACTTCTCCTATTTATAGATATTTACAAATGTTGATGGACTGCTGGGTCTAGGCCCGTTCCTCCATGAGTTCTGGTCATCTTTGATGGGCTTACTCGCGTTCGGCCCATATGGCAGTGTCTCTCTATAGGCCTGACCCATCTGTACGAACCGGATGTCGCGTTTGCAAGTCATATCTAGCCCATGTCATCTCGGGCCTCCTCAAATGCCAAAACAATAATGGATGTGTATTGAGCAAGCATGGCCATGACATCAGATATATTTTCTGCTGAAGAGCAGTGGAATGCCAAACAAACACTTCAGTGCTAACAGAATCCATAATTTTCAGCACATTTTTCTTTTACCCAGTGAGACACACATGTCCCAAGCAGGAACGGTCTCAGAAATTCATGTGAGGGGACCTTTAACAAAGATAAAAAAAAATTAAAACCATTCTAATAAGCAAAAATAAATTAAACGTTCGTTGATAAACAATCACTATCCATATTTAATAATATTAGGGGGAAAAAAAAATCAATTCAGAAAAAAAATATTCAATCATACAAGGATAAACAATAAATTCAATAATAAATAGAGTTATGAGTTTTGAGTCCGTATACCTTGGTGTGACTAGTGTCACTGCAAGTCAAGTATGCTTCTTTGCAATAGAGCTCCGATTTTCTCAACCCCACTCCCAGTTTTCAGTTTCCAATTTATTGGATATATAATTCAGTTTCCCATTTTCTTTGAATAGTTGGCAGATCTAATTTTGCTAGTTCTCAAAAAGTCAGAAGGTATTTGTCATTTGCGACTTCACCCTTTTTGGCTTTGTTTTTAATATATATATGTGTGTGTTTGCAAATCTAATTTTGTATATATATGTGTGTGTTTGCAAATCTAATTTTGTTAGGTTTCTAAAAAACGCTAAGTCAAAAGAGGCGTGAGAAAAGGGAGGGGGCAACAATTTTATTTTGTTTTAAATTCAGAGGGGCTGAGTATTAAATTTAAAGTTAAATAATTTAATTTATTATAAAAAAAATAAAAATTTAATACGAAAAAAAAAAATTTTAGAAGGGGCAATTGCCTTTGTTAAGTCCATCCCTGGTCCAAGTGGGATATAAACCTTGGACCTATCCCTTTAAGATGGCACACTACAGCAAAACACTGATGTGGCGGCCAAATTTTAACAGTAATTTAAAAAAAAAATGTGTGCTATTGATACGTTTGTAACAACATTTTTAATAAATGTCGCACTTGACTGCATTACAATCATGGCCCATTTTTTATTTTTATGTTTCATTATTCATTATTCATTTCTTATTTGTCCATCCGTCGTCCTCCCTTTCTCTCTCTACCCCCACTCCTAATCGCAGATCACTTTCTCTCTCTACCCCTACTCCTCTCTCTCTATATCTTACTTCTCGTCTACTACTCTTTCTCTCTCACACTAGTTAAACCTTGTGTATTGGGAATGATAATGGTGTTGGATCCGTAGAAATGAATCAGAGTTTGAAGGAATCTCTGATCGGAGGGAGGTCGCATCACCGGCGAGGTCTCACTCTCAACGAAATCTCCAAGGATACGGACGAGAAATCGGATCTCTTCTCTAGGTATCGCCGGAGTCTCTTCGTTGCTTCGTCCGACGAATCGGACGGTACGATTCCTCTTCATATGTACCGCGGTATCCTTCTCTTTGAATCTCACTACTACTTATTTACTTGTGGACTGTGATATTTCATTCAAAGCTGTATGATTTAATTTAATGCACAGCTAATTTTGATCTGATTCTGTTCAATCAGTTAATTAATGCCTTCACAACTTGTTCATAATTTAATTCATACATGTTCAATTATTGGGATTTTATGAAGCCAGAGCATTTTGATTTCAGTGTTAATTTACTTGTTATTACCTAATTGCAGTTTCAGTGAAATTGGGGAGACTTTCAGTTGGGTCAGCGAAACCGTCGAGGAATGGGATAGATGATCTATTGTCATCAACTGACAAAGGAAAGCACGACTAGGATTGGTAAATTGTGAATATTTTCCTTTTGTTGATTTGATTTATATGTACAATATTCAATTTCAGATCTAGCCTCTTTATATAGTGGTGTTTGGTGGAGTTAACTTTTTTTTTTTCTCCTTTAACATATCATGAATTCTTTTGATTTGAAAATGCTTCTATAAGGTTCTGCATTCGGTATGTTAGAGAGGACATTAGATACCTTTATTTTTATTCCCCAATTAAAATCTACGGTGATGAGTGAGGGTGTGACAATCTATAAGTTGTGATACTACATTTGTTTCCATTGGTTTTGTATTGAAAGTTGGAACCAAACCGGATGGGGGAGTATTTAAGTTGAAAGGGGAAACATTTAGTTCTGAAACATTGGTTTTGAATTGTGTGTATACATAAAAGTTGTGTACAAAATTGTGTGTCTGAGAAGGCTTACATTAGATCCTTCAATTCATTGCATAATGGCCTTGGTGTCAAGTCAGTGCTTCATTTTCTTCTCAATCAATGTAAATAACATTGACATAAGTGGAAGAGATAAATTTGTTCACGAGGAACAGGTTACCTTGAATCTACAAGGTCGGTGTTTTGAATCCACAAAACAAGAGATAAATTCATAAAGAATTCTGAAATATTATTGATAAAAGGTTAAATTCTGCTCTTGCGATACATGAATATTTATAATAGAGAAAACCTAACACTAGAAGGAAACTAAAATCTAATCCTATAAGGAAACTAATCCTAGAAATAAGGATAAAAATAAATTTGAAAAAAATAGATAAAGAAACCTAATCAAGTAAAACTACTAAATATAAAATCTCAGGGCATTCGGACTTCATTAAGACATCGAACAAATCCCAAAATAATCGGCAGGCTTCCTATAACATAATAAAACGCGATTTTGAAGCCCTAAACGAAGGTTTTCAACTGAAAACCAGCATGACCCACAAGTTAAAGCTAGTGGGTTTTTCTCAATGCGTCGTTTCTACCCAAAAAAACACTATTGGTTTGTTGAAAACGGACTTGTCGAACTGATTGTCAAATTGTGTAGAATTCTGTCCTACATTAGTCTCCTCTACTTCAAAAAAACTCTTCCTCGAGTTTGGCTACGAATAACATGAAATCCCACCTACCACAAAATCATATTGTTCACTGCTATGAGAATCTCCAATGCACAACACCAAAGTATTTTCATTAGCACCTTTCTGAATAAAAACTTCTTCATTAACAATTTACTCAAATATTGATACTCCACCAACTTGAAGCCTGAATTCTTCAATACCATCTTGTATACCTGATTTGGAAAAATTATTAACCCGCTAATCATCTATTAAGTCTCGGTGCTCAATTTCAACATCGAACTCCTTGTCACCATCTTCTTCCTTAGTTGTGCTAAAGCACTTTTCTGCATCTACCAACTCTTGCAAATGAATTAATGTTGTCACATCCTTGACTTCATGTTTTTCAACTACAATAGGTGAAGCAACATATTTTTTCTCTTGATCAACCTCAATAATATCAGTCATTGCCTCAACAAAATTATTATTATTCTTGGTGCCACTATCCTTTTTGTGAATCTTCTTTGTAGACTTTTTGACAGGTCGACTCTCTTTCCGACAATTCTGATACTTTTGAAACATCAACTCTTCATAATTTGATGGTAGAAATTTAGCAATGAACATCTGTTTCATCTTGTACCATGACCGAATAGGATGTGATCCTTCCATTCTTCTATGAAACTGTATTTGTTCCCACCAAATTGAAATCGATCCTTTAAGCTTGAGGCAACAAGCGGAACTTGCTTGTTTTCAGGTACATCAAAATATTCGAAATTTTTTTTAACTTCTTCAATCCAGTCCAAGACATCTTCAATAATTATTATTATTATTATTATTATTTTTTATTTATTTATTTATTTTTTTTTTTATCAAAAAAAAAGACATCTTCAATAATAAAACTTCCATTGAAAGTAAGTAGATCAAGTTTTACCTGAAATTCACGATTATTGTGTCTACCTCGATCATGGAATATGCACTCCTCATCATCGGAAAAATCATCGAAATAATCCGCATAGGCTGGAGGCCTATGTGGATAAACTGGAACATAACCCATGCTCGGTTAGCTGCGAGACACATTATCAGCGCGAACACGAATTGAACCACGAACCTGGTAGCCACCAATTGCTACGAACCGATCTTGAGTATGTAAGGCTGCCCAAGGGGCCTTCACTCTGCGATCATCGTCGGCAAAGTGGGTGCTACGAAAACGATCAATTGCCATCAGTCCAGGAAAAGACAAGGCTCTGATACCAACTGACGTAAGCGGAAGCGATAAATTTGTTCACGAGAAACAAGTTACCTTGAATCCACATGGTTGGTGTTTTGAATCCACAAAACAAGTGATAAATTCGTAAAGAATTCTGAAATATTATTGATAAAAGGTTAAATTCTGCTCTTGCAATACATAAATATTTATAATAGAGAAAACCTAACACTAGAAGGAAACTAATTCTAGAAATAAGGATAAAAATAAATTCTCTCTAAAAATCCGAAAAAATAGAGAAAGAAACTTAATCAAGTAAAACTACTAAATATAAAATCTCAGAGCATTCGGACTTCATTAAGACCTCGAACAAAAATCCCGAAATAATCATCAAACTTCCTATAACACAATAAAACGCGATTTTAAAGCCCTAAACGAAGGTTTTCAGATGAAAACCAGCATGGCCCACAAGCTAAAGCTAGTGCCTTTTTCTCAATGCGTCGTTTCGACCCAAAAAACAATATTAGTTTGTCGGAAACAGACTTGTTGAACTGTGTAAAATTCTGTCCTACATCATACATACAAATACATATATAGATATATAGATGTTTATATTATTTGTGTAAAATGAGGCTTGGTGTTGTTTTGTTGGAATTAGTTTGATATAAGAGAATTGGCTTGGCGTTCTACTTGTGTGCAAAAAGACACAAGGTAGCTAATACTATCTGCTTCTCTGGTTTAGTATGCGTCTGTGGAGGAAAGAACAGTTGAAATACCTTTCAGTATTTTTTGCTTATTTGTTTCTTAATGCACAGCTCAAGGTAGAAAAAATTAAGTTAATCGAACTCTGTGGCACATTAGAATCTGAATTTTCCAGTGTAAGAAGCACCCTAAGTTTCATTTTTGTCATCTATTGTTCTGCACTATATTTTTCTTGGCTCTCTTATCATGTTTTATTGTCAAATTTGATCTGCAGGTCTCTACATCCATGAAGGACCTGTGTCATGAAGTTTTTGGGATACAAAAGGAAAAGAAAGATCCAAGAGATATGAAAGGGAACTGAGGTATGACTTGCTTTGGTTTTCTTTAAGCTTACAATTTTCATATGCATATTCCAGTGCTCATTCATGTGATTTAGTAATGATTATTACCTATTTATAGTGTTTTTGGAAACTTAGACCTCGTTTTCATCAATTCCTTCTGAAACTTGGCATCTGTACACAGAATTGCTAGATGCATTGCCTGAGAAAAGAACATTAGAGGATGGTGGTTATTTGTGTGATGATGCAAAAGAGGTACTTCACAAGCACATCTTTAATCTTGATTCTTATTAAATACACAATAAAAGGCAGCTTTGAAGACTCAAACAAGATTTTGTAAAAATTCCTGTGATCAAGAAACGAAAGAATGTGAGTGTAGTGTATATTACCATTGCATTTGACAGCGTAATTGATGAGGAGAATGGATGGAAGAAGCAGATAGAGGAGGATACCGAGTCCTGTATCTGTCAGTGTTATTGTTGGGCCGGATGAGAGTAAGAATGGAGAGTAATGTTTTAGGGTTCTAGATGAGAGTGAGAATGGATAGAGAGGGAGAGTATTAAGGTTCCAGAATGCAGATGAAAGTGACAATGGCGAGAAGGGAGTAATGTTTTTAGGGTTCTGCGTTGGGTTTGAGACTTTATTTAGGGTTCTGCGATTCCATACTTTATTTGGTGTAAAAATAATAATCATCTACATATCTGATAAACCTGTCTGTCTACTGGAGATCTATTCATCAGTTGGTGATATGGATACGATAACAAAGAATGAAGTCCTGTATGTTTTCTGTGAATGATTATGTGCGCTTCAAATATGGATTGCACCAAGTGGTAGATCACCAGTCTGTTGTTGTATGTTAAAAATTCCTGTCTTTGTTTTTTTGCAGATCTGTCTTCTATAAATACCCTTCATTTCATCCTCATATCCCAAAACTACCAGAAGGTGTGATTATGCCGAGGAAGGTAAGCGCTGGTTATGTCTTTCGTATATTTTTCTGAATTTTACTATAATGCTTGAAAACCTAGAAAGTTTCTCCTGTATTAAAGCTACTTTAAAAGGAAAGCTGACGAAAATCAGAAAACTACTCAAAACAGGGAAACTTTCAAAATATGAAAAGTTTCTAAAAAAACCAAATTTCACTTACAGAAATTTGAAATTATGCCTGCATCACTCTTATATATATATATATATATAAGAAAGGGGAGCATTGATCCGTCCAAGGCTTGAAGATCAAGCATGCTCAGCAGTGTTCTTCCAAAATAAATATTGCAGGCCAAATTTAGTGAGAGAAATTGCATGTAAAATGTCAAAGTTCCTGCCCATTTCTATATCCTACTATATTATATTATTTGAAAACGTACATATGAAAGGAGATATATAAAATATATATATAGGGTTATAACCAACATATTTTGAGAAGAGATATATAAAAAATATATAACCAGCATATTTTGGGGGGTGCGCTCCAATGCTGGTAAAAAACAAATTAAACTACCTTGTCCAATACTTTAATGTTGGTTTTTTGTTTAAGAATAACAACCCAATAACAATCAATATAGCATGATATCTAAATTATTGTATTCAAGTGTGATTGAATTTTAAAGTTAGTTTCCAACCTATGATGGAATAAAAATAAGTATGGAATGTCTGCAATTCTGGGAAAGCTCAGAATTTCTGAGTTGAAAATTACTTTTTAATCATGGAAACTATGGTTGATGGTACCTGTATTTGACATTTTAAGTCAAGTCGCTGTCTTCAAATGATTGGGGCAATACCTGTTTGCAAACATAATTGTAACCTCCCTTATTAAAGGCCTTCTGATGAAGGACAGAAATATATATTCCCTTAACCAAGTGCGAGCTTACGAAGCTTAGACAAAACAATTCCCTTTTTAAAAGACAAGCTGAGTGAAACTCGTAAAATTTATTTCCTTATTAAAGCACGAGCGGAGTGTAACTCGTAAAATTTATTTCCGACGAGCTGAGCTAATAAAATATAGGGTTAATTTCACCTACACCCCTTGACGTTTGCCTATATTTCACTTACACCCCCCTTTACGTTTTAATATTCCAACTACCTCCCTTAAGGTTTTGGTTTATGTAGCAAATTACTTCCTGCCGTTAAGCAACTAACAGTGTTAGCATGAACAAATCGGTACAAGGTCAGTTTTGCCCTTCCAAAACTTGAAATGCCATTTTTAACCTCATTGACCAATGCAAATTTACAAAATCACCCTTAACTGATTATTGCTTAAACCTCTCTTTGATTCTTCTGTTGGTGGCAGTACTGTTCGGCGGGGATGAAATGTCCGGCCAGCCCATCGCCGTTCAGCCTCAAGCAGCCCATCTCCGCGAGTCAACCATGGGCGAACCAGCCCACCTTGCTCGCCGGTCCTGTCCACCATCCGAGCTCGTCCCCGCTGCCGTTGCTTCATCTAAACCGCCGCCGAGTCATCCATGGCCGAACCAGCCCGCCGATTTTCGATTTGATCCGTTAACCCCATCCCGGAAGAAATTCATTTGTAGTTTTAGAAAGCATTGGCAGAAAGATTTGATAGGTTTCGTCGTCCACAATGACACCTGTGCCCATTTTTCCAATTTGACACCAATCATCATGTCAGTATTACACCAAGAATTGACAAGCAAGTATAGGAATGTTTTAAAGCATGAGATTATACCCCAGTAAGTCCATTAGCTGGAAAGCACAGTCAGCTCGGAAACCCAAGATTTAGGAATTCAAATATCCCTTTCGCCCTATTGAGTTGAGCGAAGTGACCCAGAAATTCATCACCGTCGGCATCTTCCTTGCTCACCCCCGGCGATTCCAACAAACGGTGGTAGGAGCTCATTTCTTCTTTATTCCACTCTCAGTTTCTTGAGTTTTCTCTTCTGGGTTTTTATTTTCTTTCTCTAAGCTCTAAATTTCATTTATTTTAGTTGTTTTTCTTTCTGGGTTGCTTCTCTTTTTCTTCTAGGCTTCTAATTTTAGTGAAGAACCTGTCACCAGTTTTGAATTAAAAACACTAAGAAATTATTGAGTCACGGACTCACGGCTTACTGGTGATACATACATGCATGCATATATATATGGGTCAGGGTGGTGTTGTTTCAGGAGGAAGAATGAAGGGCAATGAAACTATATATATATATATATATATATATATATTCCCTTATTATGTTAAGAGGTAGTGGCTATCTTTGTATAAGTATTATCCATAAGTAAATGTTGGTAAACTTGTGTTTGTGTGTAGAAAGAGAGAGAAATGTGTATGTGAGTAGAGAGAGAGAAATTGAGGGTGTTTATGTCTTTTCATTTAAGTTATAAATTTTAATATATAATTTATGGGTAGAAAAGTAAAATCACACATTTCTGTTAGGAAATTAGACGGTGGTTATTAATAGCGGGTGTAGGTGAAATTATGAAACGTAAAAGAGGTGTAAGTGGAATATAGGCAAACGTCAGGAAGTGTAAGTGAAATTAACCCTAAAGTATATCCCTTATTAAAGGTGAAAACAATGGCCAACATGCATTTTTGTATGCCCATAAATACGTGGAAATCTACAATATGGTGTTTGACATTTGAAATCAACTCAGCAAAATCCAATTTTCAATCAATTTCTCTAATTTGAGATCAAATTTCAATGAAATCAAAGTTGCAAAATTTGCATATGAACAAAAAGAGGTCAACATTTGTAACCCAAACTCCACGAACTTGGAAAATTGACAATGACGGTTAACTTCGATTTGGTACCCCATACCAAACGATGCCAAAAAAACGACGCTTACCTTCTCCTATAACAAGGTAATCGATCCACTTGAAAGATAGGTGAAATTAAATATATAATTTATTTTCTTTTACATATAAACCCCCAAAATTGACTTGATTGTCGGAGGGTATTCGGCCGACACTTGCCGGTGCCAGTCCTCAGTCGCTATTATTTTTCTTTTACAGGAACAGGTGCGAATTTGGGTCGGGCAAAATTTCGCTTCAACATATAAATATAAGGTTGTTTGCCTTAAACTCTCTACCACATTGTTAACCAAGCTAAATCTAATTGAAATTCAATTTAGTGAAGTAAGCGATCAGCACTATTACTCAATAAAGCCGCAGTTGAAGGCTTGGCGCGATATGATGCTTTAGTTTTCTAAAGTAATTTAGTTTCATTCACTTTTTAATTTATATGAATTTGAAGTTTATCATTTTAATTTTGTTTTTTCATATAAATTTAAATGTTAAGAAGAATTATAAGTAGTTTGAACAAAATTTAACTTAGTATCGGCTTGTTTGATTCACGTTTTGTTTTTAGGGTTTTGTTTTAACCTAAACAAATGTTTTGTTGTAGAGTTATTTAAATAGTAATCGGAAATATGTTTGGTAATGCCCATTTATTGCAAGATTATAGGAAGCAAAAACATGAAAACATGTTTGGTAAATAAGTGTTGCAAGTTTAAAAAGTATAATGGTTAATTTAAAAATGTCATTTAAGAATTTTTATTTATTTTTTACTGTTAAATGTTACAGTATTGTTATTATAGCGTTGAAATATGTAAAAATACCAAATTAATACTTCAATTTTTTTACCAATATTCACAAAACATTTCGACGCAGTGCAAAAGAAACATTTTTTATCAATCACATTTTTTCTACTGTTCACTCTACAATACCCTCACACTATACCCTCACAAAAATATAACTCATACCAAATACGCCTATATGATTCAAAATATTGCAAGAAGTTGGAAAAGGACTAATATTGATCCAAGGAAAAGAGAGTGATACTGATTTTAGCCTCTTTGGTGGATCCTACAGTAATGTCACACACAAATTATTACTCTATTCTGGCCAATCACAAGGTGAAACATAAGATCTTATTTGGTTTGCATTTTTTTTTTTTTTTTTTTTTGGCACTTTGTTTTAACTTGAAACAAAACAATTGTTCTGTTATAAGGTGATTTGAATAGTAATCGAAACCATATTTGATAACATTCGTTTGTTGCAAGATTTTTTTAAGCAAAAACATGTTTGGTAAAAAATATTGCAAATTTGAAAAATATAATTGTTAATTTAAAAATATTTTTTTAAATATATATATATATATATATATTCACGAAACATTTCAGTATTGTGCAAAACAAAACATTTTTTATTAAACATGTTTTTTTAACTGTTCACTGTTATAGTACTCAATGAAAACAAAATAATAAAAATAAAACGCGAGCAAATAGGATCTAAATAAATGTGTCAGCATTACATTTTCAATCAAGATTTTAAGTATGAATTACTTCACGATTGATCCAAACTAATGATCACTGCATCATATGATAATTTCTCGTATATCACGTGAGATTAGATTCTTTGCAATGTTGGCTTGAAATTCGTTAAAGCTTTAAAATAGATTTTATTTTTTTTTTTTTTTTTTAAAAAAAAACTTCTGTAGAGATGTTAAAATTGTCTCTGAATGATTCATATTAAATGCATTGACAAATTCAACATGACAGTTCATATGTGAAGTGAAGCATCTGATGAAGCACTCGTAGCTAAAATATTGTGCAATTGAAGTGATAGATCAGGACCCTACATGACTTCCTTGGTAGTATCTTACCATTTGATGGGAAAGTAGCAATGTTTAATGGGAATTTTGGACAAGTTTTCCCCATGGTATCTCGTGCGACTTGAGAGACCTTTCTCCATAGATTTTATACATTTTTGTTCCTCTGGCTTGCTATTTATTTACACTCTCTCTCTATATATATATATATATATATATGGGCTATAATCTGAAAACCCTTTCTTGTTTATCAAAATTATCTACTAACTCCCTCGAATATTAAAAAACCTCCTATATAACATAAATTATCATATTATCTCCATTCCTTTATAAAACAGTTAAGTGCTTGCGAAATAACTAAAATGCCCTTGATATTCAATTAATATTAATATATTATTTTTATTTTTTTATAAGTAAATATTAATATATTAATATAAGATAAGATTGGGGCTATACAAAACAACGATGCCGGAATGGAACGATGAAGTGTCCGGTCACCGTTTGAGATGAACACAGATTAAGACGGTAGTGTAGATTCCGGCGAGGATGAACTGCGGAATTGCACGCTACGCCGGATTGAATCTTGATCCTTTTTTTTCATCCCCAGCTCGATCGGAGGTCCGGCGGCAAAGAGAATTATGCTGACTTGCGGCGGCTCAGATGGAGCCAGTCGGTGGAGAGGACAAGCGCAGCAGCGGTGAGCAACGGTCGGCAGCGGGGCTGGCAACGGCGGTACAAAGAAGAGTTTGGTGAGGAGGAAAATGGGCTCAGCTAATGATGATCTGTCCGGCAAGCAAGGGAGCTCGGCGGTGAGAGGAACAGCCGGCAAGCTTGGAACTGAATCGGCAGTGCTTGCGGCGGTGATTGGAATGGTGAATTGAACTGATGATGATGGTTATGTCCTGAGTTTGATCATTGTTGCTGCAAAAACGCAGCCACGGCCTCATCAAACCCATATTGATACAAACGCCATGTGCAAAGAGTTGGCCAACTAGAAGTATCATGGACACAGATGAAGATCTCTTAGAGCTTTTCTTCACAAGCAGTAAGGGTCAAGATGGTTTAGTACATATGAAGCACATTCAACTCTTAAGACCCAAGCTCGTTTTCTCTCTCTTATCTCGGATTCCTCTCTATTTCCTCTATTCTTCTCTTCTCCGGCCGATTTAAGCCAAGGTGAAGCCTTATCAACCTCCGGCAAACACTGTTTAAATTTCATATCCAAGTGAAAAAAGAAAATAGTTCAAAAACTTTGTAGATCTTACTGATGATTTAAAGTATTGAAAGGTTTAGATCCAAGATTTAGGCTCAAATATTTTTCTCCATCCTACGCCGACCGTCCGTCACATATTGATAGCCGGCATCGGAATTTACTTCTTCCATCAATCGTCCGGCATAGACGTTGTCATTTTGTACAGCGACAAATTATTCGCGACTATGGCCGTTGGATTCGTGAAGACAATGTTCATCTTTGTGGCCACGTTTTTGTTGGACCGGACGACCTGTGCATCTTACCAACGTGGTGGGTCTCTGACTTTGCTTGTGAGTCAAAAATAAGGGTATTTTGGTAATTCTAATACAATACTTGGTGCGCGTGCTAAGATCAGTTAGTTTTAGACGGTTAACTAACGGAGAGATGTGATATGATTAATTTTAAAAATTATTGAGGGGTTTTATGATAGTTTCAGTACTTGAAGGGTTTTATGATAGTTTCAGTACTTGAGGGGGTTAGTAGATAATTTTTGTAAACAACAAGGGAGTTTTCAGATTTTAGCCCTATATATATGTGCGCGCGCGCATGTGTGTGTGTCATTTCACTAGCTAATGGTCATATTGATGTTGTTTACTTATAAATTTGTTTAGAACCTTATAATGTATTTTTTTCGGTTAAAATGGTAAGCTTTATGAATAAGAAATAGGGTTAAATACAAAAAATTCCTCTGAACTGTTACCATATCAGCAATTAACCCTTCTGAACTACAAAAAATGCAACTAACCCCCTAAACTATGCAATTTTGTTGCAGATGACCCCATCTGGCATGTCTCCGGCAGATTTTGACCGTAACAGTGCATAAGTTGAAAATAAATGACTATAGTGCCCTTATACACATGAAAGGACAAAAATACCCTTAGTTGTTAAGGTTACAACCAAACAAGTAACAAAAAGGTCATAATGAGATAGCCAAACACCCCTAAGCGGTACGACTTCTGGAACCTAACACGAGCACCACGCCCACAGAACTTCTTGGGTTCGCAGCTTCTGGGGTCAGCCACTAGGAGGAATTGTTCGCCGGAGAAGAAACAATTGTAGATGATGGCAAACGCTTCCTCGCTGAAGAAGCGTTCAACTGATTGCGGTGTCTATACATGTATGTCTATCTTCCTTTATATATACATGTGTGTCTATACATGTATGTATGTATATGTGTGTGTGTGTGTCAGTGTGTGTGTGTTTATTCTTTAATTTGCCATATATAGTTTGTAATTTGGGTCTCTGGGTGATGGTAAGAATAAGGAATATTTAATTTGGGTTTGGATTTAGATTTGCAGACAAGGGTAGAGAGAGAAAGAGGAGCAAGGACGATACCGAAGTTCCTGAGAGAGAGAATGGACAGTGCTGATCGAGTGGAGAGGCGAGAACTGCCAGGATTGAATCAGATGGGCTTTTGTGGGGCCACGTGGGGTTTCAGATTATAGTCCATCAACATCAGGGACGAGGAGGAGAACAAGGAAGGCCCACCACATCAACAAAGAGAAGAAGGAGTCGAGATTATAGATGTGGAGTCGAGATTATAGCAACAACCGGCGTTCGTTCCTCTCCTCTTCATAACGACGGCGAATTTGCCCAAATCAGCCTCCGCTCCTTCTCGGTGCTTGACCGCAGCAGAGAGTTGATGTTAAGGCAGAAGGCGTGAAGAAGATCACGGTCGAAGCTTGAAGTCTGAAGCGCAGTCGCCAAAGAAGAGGGGGCGCGTGTGCACGTGAAAACATGTTTGATCTATTCGCAGGAGCGCGTGACGCCCTTAGAGTCTGGAAATACTGGTGAACTTGGCGATCTGGCCAAGCCACTCCTCCTCTCTATTCGTTCTGGTGCTGCAGTGGTGTGGATAGGGAAAAATTAGCGGTGGTGGTGGTGTGGAGAGGGAAGTGGCACTGTTAGAGAGGGATGTTGTATGCGACAGTAAGTGATTAGTTTCTAGTGGTGCGGCTCGAAGTTCAGTCCGGCAGTGATGGTTGTCTGTGGTGTTCAGTCTGGCGGCGATGGTTGTTTGTGGTGTACGTTGCAGCAGAGCTGTAACGTAAATGGGTACAACCTATTAAAAATTTTATCATTTTTGTTATTTATTTTTTTTATTTTTGGTTGACTTTGTGTCTCATTTTTATTGGCTTCTAAATTATTTAGTTGCCATGTCACCAAGTATGTCACCAAGTATAATGGGTAACTCTTCAAACTATGTATTAATTAAGGGTAAATTTGTCTTTTCATTTTTCCGACCAAGTTACTTGCCGGAATGGACTGAAATGTAACAAATCAATAGTTCCGAATTTTTTTTGTAGTTCAAGGAAATTTGTTACAATATGCCAATACTTCAGGAGTGTTTTTTTACTTTTAATCCTAAGAAATATGTACAACAACAAAACCGCCAAAGGAAAAAGGCTTCCATGGCAGTGTTCAAATACAAAAACACCAAAATCTTCCAACAATCAATAAAGCTATTACTAGTCTGGACCTTATAATATTGCTCACTACAAATTCATTTAAAAAAATTTCTATATTTTTTTTTCATTTACTAGGATTTCCCGTTTCAAAAGTCTTGCAATATTATAGGATTAGCATGACCAGTGATTTTGCAATTTTTTTAATGATTATAATTATTTTTGTCATTTATAAAAGATGGTGATGAGATTTTTTACTAGATGTTTTAAGAATTCTCACTTCAAGTTGTCATTTATAAAAGATAGTTGAATGATTTTTTTACTCCATGTTTGAAGGATTCTCGCTTCACATCATAAAATAGGCATATAAATAGGGAAGGCAATGGGGAATTCGATTCCCATCCCCTTCCCAAAATTGTTTATTAAGCGGGCTAGAACGAACTTTACAAGGTATTAAGAATCTTATTGAAAGTAAATAATGAAATAAAATTTTGACTATGGTAATAATTTTTTTTCTCTTATGCGAATAGAAACAATATTCAACTTTTTAATTAGAACTTTAGACTTTATATTTATTCTAAGAATATCAAAATAATACATATAAATTCTCAAATAAAAATAATACAAAAAGATATTTAGTGACTGTAATAGAATAAATTAGAATTTGTTTGATATATACCTCATATTATTCAATATAGAACAAAGTACAAGTAAAAAATTATAATTTATTATTATAAAGGTGGCGGGTGGGGCGAGGTGACATTTTTCCATCCCGCCACATAACCATGTAGGTTTTCAATCAAAATTTTCATCCGGTCCCAAAATTATTTAATCACCCCATAATTGTTTTAAACGAGACAAGGTGCGCAAGAGTATCGAACAAAACGGGATATTTTGTCATCCCTATACAGTGACGGACCCAGAAAATTTGGTGAGGGGGGGCGAATTTTTATTTTGTGGGTACAAAATTATATGATGGGTTCATTTTTGTAATTTTAATAGGGTATTTTTCATAAATTTTAAAAAAATTTAAGTATAAAATGAAAAAAAAAAAAAAATTAGTGGGGCAAATTATAATTATAGTGGGGTATCTTCATAAATTATCAAAATTTGAAGTGTAAAATGTTAAAAAATAAGAATTCAGTGGGGGCGAATTGTAATTTTAAGGGGCATTTTCATAAATTTTAAAAACATTAAGGTATAAAATAAAAATATTAAAAATTCAAGGGGGCATCTGCCCCCCCCCCCCCCCCCCCCACCCAGTCCCTGCTGGGTCCGTTCCTGTCCCTATATATAAATATTGAAAATGATTGTTGGAAAAAAAAAAAATCAGTGGCAGTGGCAGTGGCAGTGACAGTGGCAGTGGCAGTGATACTAACCTGGAGTACCTCTCTATGAAGGTTATAATTTACAGGAAGGATAACAGAAATTTCCTTTGTGTTTCCAGACAGGATGTTAAATCCGTCCGTCCGTCATTACGCGCTTATACGTTCTCTCTGTAGGTGCCACGACGCCATCTAATAAACAAAACACATTCTCTCTCCTCCTTTTGATCTCCAAACAAAACGCACCATCTCTCCTCTTTTATCTAGCAGAAACTACACGTTTGTCTCTCTAGGAGCAACATTTATGTGTGAAAGCAACACCCTTTCCCTCTCTAGAGATGGCCCACTCTCCCACTAAAAATTATTCCACTTGCTCTATCCATCTGTCTCACAAAAATACAAATCACGCCCTCTCTATTCTTACTTTTGTAAAAGAAAAGGAAAATAAATTGCTCTGCCACCATATCACTCATACATCATTTCCTTTTTTTTATTTCTCTAGCGCTAACATTTATGTATATTACCGGTGATAAATCTAAAAATTGAGTGCTCAAAATTTTAGGAGTTCAGTTTTAAGTATTAAAGATTTTAATTAGTTTTTAAAAAATAAATTTTTTTGATAATTTTTTTTTTTTCAGAATTTTTTAGCATTAAGTGATAAGTGATAAGTGATATTTCTATCACTTAGAATTTTACCCTACTTTAAGTGGTACTTACTATTTTTAGTGATATTCAAAATGCTCGTTATCAAACGCACTTAATTAAATAAACGTTTAATCTCATTCAAAATTAAGGTTTGAATTAACTAATCAAACAGCACCTTAACATATTCTCAATTATTTCATATGGTAGAATATTTGTTCTTCAAAAAGAAGTTAAAAAATATTTGCAAGTACTATTAGATATAATATTTAAAATGTGTTTGCTTGAATGTTTGAAAAAATAAAAATAAAAAATTAAACAAGCTTTTCACATAAATAATCCCTATGCATACCACATCATTCTCAAGTTATTATGCACAGATGATCGAATCCACTAAAGAGGTTGAATGTTGCAATTAAGTATTATATGATAACTCAAATCAGCGCTTAATTCTGAATGAATTAAACGTTTATTCTTTTAAGCGTGTTTGATAATACAATTTAAATATTGCTGAAAATTCTAAACACCATTTAAAATGGAATAAAATTTTAAGTGACAAAATTTTCAGTTATCATTGAATGCCAATGAGGATTTAAAAGATATAAAATATATATATATTTTAAATTAGCACTTAAAAATTCAATACTTAAAATTGAATTCTTAAATTTTTCAATAATTATTTTTTAATTTTATCAAACAATAATTAGAAATAATATTACAAATATTCATGGATAAATAAACTTTAGAAATAATTTTGTAATAAATAGTACTTCGTAATAGACAAGTTCTTTTTCCTCCTCCTTTAAAACAAATGAATTATTACATATAAATGATGTTAATAACTCATATTTATTATTTAATGGAGTCAAAGTCTCGTATATAGTTTCGAAAAAATGAAGTTGACTAAAATATTGACGTGGATATGAAAAAATACTGTTTACCGTTACTGAGGTACCACTTTTAGGCACATATGTATCACTTTTTGTGCACGAAGGTACCATTTTTTGTGCAACAAGTACCACTTTTGTTTTGAGTATAGAGGTACCACTTTTATTCACATAAATACCACTTTTTGTGCACATGGGTACCACTATTTGTGTATTGGGTACAATTTTTTTGTGCAAAATAAATTAAAAGTGGTACCTAATAACAAAATGTAGTACCTATGTGCTTAAAAGTGGTACCTCAGGAAGGATAAAGTATTTTTTTCATGTCTTAATTTTTTCAAAACTACGAGATTTTGACTCTATTAAATAATAAATATAAACCATTAACACCATTTATATATAATAATTTCTAAAAACAAAAACATATTATATTTTCAGGGCACCTTTTTTTTCCTCTCTCTCTCCACCCCCCTTATCTTCAAGTCATAGATTTTTCCACTAAGCTTTTTTTTTTTCTGTGTCTCTCTCTCAGTAAGTTTGTCGACACGCTCCTCCAAAGCTCCTTTATTCTGCCTGTGAAAATTAAATTCCCTTTTTTTTTCCACCCTTCCCTCTCTCTTAAAAACCTTTTGTTTTCTAAGACCCACCAATTCTAAATTTTCAATCTTTGAAACATCACAGTCCACGTAAATTTCTTTGCCAAATCCTAACTAAAAAACCCAATCATATTTCTCTTTTCTCCGAAACATCTAACATTTCTCTCTAAGACATGTATCATAAATTCTCTCCCTGTAAACCCCTCCATCACTCTACTTCTCCCTCTAAAACGTTCTAGGCCTCTCGGAAAAAAAAAAAAAAAAAAGGTTCCACGCCTCTAAAAACACAGAAGCTGATATTGACGTTCCATAATCCATAATTATTCTCAAGCGTTCTATTCCCTTTCTCACTCCAAATGAAATTACAAAAGGTTTCCCTTTTCTCTACTTTCCCAGTGCTACCACCTCTTCCTCCTTCCATTTTCTCTCTTTTATATGTATTGACACATATATACACACACAGACACGTACACGTACACGTAAATGCATGCACACACTTCACAACATCACCACAACCACACCAAAGTTAGTGTATAATATACACGTAAATCCATAACCAACCCCAAATGAACCCCCCAAAGTTAGTGTGACATAGAGATTCTTTTGTAATTTTATTTTAAGAAATAATGTAGATATAGTGTGATAAGATAATTATAGAACCTCAATATCAACTCCATAATAAATAAATAAATAACAGTCTATATGATTAGACAAGCAAAAATTGAAGACCCACAGTCTATATGATTAAACATGGGGAAATTGAAGACCCTTGCTTCTCTCTCTCAATATAAAAACCTTAGCTTCCTAAATTAGGACGCCCACCAATCCCAAGCTCAATCCTTTTTTTATTTCGGTAAATAATCCCGAGCTCAATCTTTGAAACATCACAATCCCAAATTAAAAATTTTGTCAAATCCCGGCCCCAAACAAAGCCCAGTCATCTTTCCAACTTCTCGGAAACATCCAAGTTTCTCTCTCTAAAACATGCATGCATCATAATTTTGTCTATAAAACATTAGAACCCCTCCCTTAATCTCTCTCTAAAACATCCTATCAATTCATCTCTTTGCTCACAATACACCATTTCCCCTCTCTCTCTCTCTCTCTCTCTCTCTAAAGCATCCTATCAGTTCATCTATTCGCAATACACCATTTCCTCTCTCTCTCTCTCTCTCTCTCTGTCTATATATATATATATATACATATATATAAGTACCAAAGAGATGGACTATGATTCAATGGATAATGCCATTAATTATTCAGCTAAGAGCAGCAAAATGAAGATGACATTCCCCTTTGTGACTCCTGTCAGAGGAAGCATCAAGCGCCGGATGTTTGCCGGTTTCATACATAAGCTGAAGCTCCTCTGCAAAATCACCTCCCACTCCTTCCTCCGCTTCTTTGAACGCACATAACTCTTGTCCTTGCTGCTTCATGCTTTGCATTCCTTCATGTTCTCTCCATTACCAACCAC